ACACCTCTGTGTGCACACACACACACACACACACACACACACACACACACACACAATTCAGGCTTGAAAAACGGCAACAACATTGCAGTAAACTGTTGGCAGGACTTACTGTCGTCTTACAACCTCAGTCACTCTTTGTTTTTTCTCCCTGTTAATAAAAAGTTCTCTAAATGTGGGAAAGGGTTCGAGCACAAAAACACAGCATAAAGTATTTCTGTAACAGTTAGGTTGCTTGGAAAACAAACCTTCCTGGTTTTCCAGCTCAGGCGTGGAGTTTGGTCAAATTTCAGGCCTGGTTTTGATCTCTGAAACAAAATGAAGCAGCTTCAGTTCAGCAGCACAGAGAAACACTTCTACTCTTCTTTTACTTCACATCAGAGTGCCTGCTTTCTAAAGGTCATTTTTGAACAGTTAGTCCAGTCGTAGAGAATAAATTATAAAGAAAAGAGCAGAAGCACAATCCTCTTTATTTTAAGAGATTTTGGGACTGATTTTTTTAATCAGCTTGAACATATCACAGCATCTGGTAACAACTCTGGCTCTGATTTGCTGAGACTCGTGTTGGTTTGTTTTCTTGGTCATCCTGTGAAAAACATCAAACTCTCCCTCCCCCCTCTGTTAAACACAGAAAACTAACTCATTCACAGGTCAGATGAATGAAAGAACTGATGCTACCAGACATAAAATACAAAAAATAAAAATACAAACAACTTATGTGCAGAAACAAATGGTCTGTATATAATTCATTTTGAAATTAGTGTGTTTACTCTGATAATACTGAACAGAAATATTTCTCCAGACAATAGTTTGCTAAACAAAAATCATTTTTCAAGCTTAGAAAACAGCTTTTGATAATAAAAAAAATCACTACGTCACATAAAATGAAAGAATTCTACAGTTTAGTCAGTCCCTGTATTCTCAACCAAATATTGTTTTTACACCAACATGTGTTGGCATTGTTCTGACTGAATGAAGTTCTGATCAGTGGCAGGATTAAAATACTTCCTTCAGTGACAAGGCAACCATGATAACACTACACACAATCATTTTCTACGGCCACAGGACAGGCAGACTCTGTACGAGTCGCTGACAAAAGCACAAAAATTATACAATTTTATTAGCCACACGTATCACAGAAATAACCCAAAGTTTTATCATACATCAGTTCATACAATACGTACATATTACATTACAAATGTAAACATAACTGGTCAGTCTTCAGACAAGGAAAGCATCTTCAACTCTGGGGGACTGTTCAAAACCTCAGATGGGGCTGTCCACAGGGAGGAGCTCCTGGTTGTCGACAGCTTACTAAATGAGTTGAATGGATCTAGACTCCATATACAGGGGTATGCAGATGACTTGCCTGAGTATTGTATGCAACCTAATGCAGAGGGGACTAAGCAGAGATGGTGCTGTGAGCAGGAACTTTCTGTCAACCCAAATAAGACAGAATTGATTCTTTTCACTCATAATAAATTTGGAGGGTGTAGAACTCCCTCTGTCAGAGTCAGTTAAGTTCTTGGTTGTCTATCTAGACAGGAAGCTTAACTGGAAAAGACACATAAATGAAAAGTGTAAGAAGGCAGTAATGTGCCTACATCAGTGTCGTAGAATTGCCAGTAGTCGTTGGGGTGCTACCCCAAAGGTTATCAGATGGATCTACGTGGCCATAGTCCGCCCCATGCTATACTATGCTGCTTTTGGTGGGTTTGAGTCCAAGTTGGGGTGGCAATAGTGATGCTCACCTATGTGCAACGAATGGCCTGCCTGAGCATCACAGGTAGAACAATACCCACAGCAGCCCTTGAAGTCCTACTGGACCTGGCTCCACTGGATTCACATATCTTAGGGGAGGCCACATCCAGTGAAGTAAGACTACACCAGTCTGGCAGGTGGAAAAACCTATCTGACTCACAGCACACCAGAATCTGGGACTGTTCCAGTAACTGCAGGACCTGGAGACAGAATGGTCCAAAAATACAATTTTGAACCAAGTTTTAAGACAGAGATAGAAGACAGGTCTGTCTGGATTAAACTCTCTATGACGGACATGTCTCCCAATCATTTCTACTGTTTTACAGATGGATCCCTTCTGAAGGGGTCAGTAGGTGCAGGGGGGCTGATTTTGCACAACCATAGTGAGATACAGTTATCCACTAGGTGGTTTTGCAACTGTATCTCAAGCTGAGATACATGCAATCCACCAGTGTGGGCATCTCTCAAAGACGTATACACAGAAGGAACTATTCATCCTAACAGATAGCCAAGCTGCTGTTAGAGCTCTCCGAGGGCCACACTTTACATCATTACTGGTTGGGTGTGTGCCAAAGCAGTCAACCAAACTGGGGAGAGATAACACTGTTACTGTTAAATGGGTACCAGGACATACTGGTATTTATGGTAACGAGAAAGCTGACTACCTCGCAAGAGCTGGCAGTCAGGCTCACTTCAAAGGACCAGAGCCTGTTGTAGGTACCTCAACAACAGTCTGTAGGACTGCCCTACAGGCCTGGATTAGACGTCCACTCTCAATCCTCTGGAGGGAGCTGATGGACTGTAGACAGGCACGGGAACTGATTAATGGTCCAAATCTAAGGTTTGGGAAAGCTCTCATCTCCCTGACAAGGAAAACTCAAAGTACACTGTTGGAGTTGTAACTGGGCACAATCTGCTCAACTGCCACAAACTGATGATGGGACTCCATGACAATGGTCTGTGTGATGCCTGTGGCATTGAATTAGAGACCTGCCTGGACTGTTTCCATGACCTTTGACATGATCACACTCAGCCTGAAGCCAGCGTGGACCGTCCTGCTGGTCAGGCCTCATGTAAAGGATACTCTGCCCCCTGGTACCTCCCAGGACCCCAATACGATGCTAACATGATGATCAACCTCCACCACAAGAGTTCTGCATGCTCAAAACAAGAATGTTCTAGATGGTTCCCCCCGCCCCCATACTACATTTTTGAGCCTCTTCTTACAAATCATCCAAACTGCAAATTATGGATCTGGTGAGCTGGTCTCTTGACACTATTGATCAAATTTTTTCTACATGGAAAGTGGGCAAAGGAGAGCCCTCTTGTGGGCTCCTCTGATGGGACATGTGCAGCAGGGTGCGTTATGGATTCCTGGGGTGATTGGAAGATAATGTGCCTTTCTACATTGTCGACTAAGGATGTCAAAGGTGGTAACATAAAAGGATTAATGACAGCAGGATTTCTACTGATTGGTGGTGGTGGATATCTGGGCTATCGTGAAATATGGAAAGTGTCTGGAGCCATTCGGGCCTTGATGAGGTTGCACGGCTTCTGTAATGGTCTTTGCTGTCAACACTCAGACTCAAGCGCTGCTTGAGCAGAGCTGAAAGCTGGATGCTGTCCTCGCTGAGGGTTGCATGCTCCTAAGTGGGAATGGATTGATCTTGGAGAAAGTTGGGCTCGGTGAAAGGTGAGGAATGACCAACAAATTCGACTGACTGGAATTTCATCATGAGAGTTCTAGTGAGACATTGAGGCAAATCTACAGGTGTCAATGGCTATGATCTTGCTCTGTGCAGGTTTTTATATACCTCATATTGTGTACTGAGTGGGCATAACATGATGTTCTTTCTTTATACTCTCTTATTCTCATGTTGGTATTTCTTTTTTCGTTTTAAGGGTAGCACCTAGTTATGGCTGCTGGACTGCTGTTCTCCAAATGTTTTTCTTGATTGGGTTGTTCTGAACCGTAATTTCCTTTCTGGGATCAATAAAGTATCATGTATTTTTTCATTCATCAACATGTCTAGAGACCAGCAAAGACCACCCATGTTCTGGATGACTTCTTCAAAGTAATGTGCTGCTCCAACAAGTACTGTATTTCTTTAATAAACTGACCCAACAAGGACTCACTCAAATCCAGTTTCCTTTTCTTACTGAAATATGTGATTATTGTAACAAAAGACTCCTCAGTCACAGGTTCAGGTATTAACACCAACCTGAAAATAATCCAACTCACAGATATTTAACAAATAGTTTTTCTTAAAAAGCTCCTGAGCAGTAAAAAAAAAAAAAACAACTAAAGCTCAGAGTTTCTGAAGTTTTGAATTTTATGCTATAAAGGTAGACCTTCAGTAATGTATTGTTGAATTTACTAGTACACAATATTGTCAGTAAAGTAAATTTTATAAATAAAATTTCCATAAAATAAAATACAACTTGTGGTAAAATTCAAAAGTTCTACATTAGATACTGTAGAAAACTTACAAACATGAATACAGCTGGACTACATAGTGCTTTTATTTAAACCAAAATATAAAGTGTATCATCCATTTTATTTCAAAAATACTTCATCTACAGTATATACAAATATTCTGCAAAATAAAAGTATAAAGTCCAGAGAAGAATCCATTTCTGGGTCCACAAGGCTTCTCCAGAGTTCCACACAGAAACTAAAACCTTACATTTTACTGAGCACAGCTGGTGAACTTTGTTGGCAAGTTGTCCACAGGATAGACCGTTGGTCCAGTCTTCATGGCTGGAGGTCCATTTAAAAGAGTCCAGTCACACTTTGAGACCACCTCCACCAAAAAGACCTTCAGCAGAACTCTAGCAAACTCTTTGCCCACACACATCCTGGAGCCGCCACCGAATGGGATGTAGTGAAACCTGGACGAGTCTGCAGAGGGCTGGGTCATGAAGCGCTGCGGCTGGAAGTCCTGCTTGTTGGGGAACATCTGAGCCACGTCGTGTGTGTCGCAGATACTGTAGATGACCTTCCACCCTTTAGGGATCTGATAACCCTGAGGCAGGAAGAGCAGCTAGTTAGTCTTTGTAAGCTGACACATCACTCCCGAGTTATTTTAACCTTTTCTAACTTCTAGTGTTTGGCAGACATTTGCTGCTTTTAGCTTGAACTTTGCTATACAGAACTAGCTTTATGCTACTTTCAGCTTTTAGCCTTTTTGCTAAATGCAGAATTTAAAAAAGATATATTTAGCTTTTAGCTATCATTTCGCTTCTTTTAGCTTTAATATCTCAGTTCCAGTTCTTCAGCTGTCATGTTGTATTTCAGCAGAAAATAAAGAAGTGTAAGTTGACCAGCATGTTTTCTTTCCTTACATTGAGTGTAAACGTCTTCAGAGCTATCCTGAAGCCTCCAGGAACAGGAGGGTTGATCCTTAAAGTCTCTTTGATGACACAGTCTGTGTATCTGAGCTGCTCCAAGGAGTCCAGGTTCAGACTGTGGAGGTCCAGGCCTTGCTCCTCCTGAACACAAAGACACAAACTGCTCATGTCAGATTAAAACTACCAGTACAGTAGCTCGTTCATGTACAAGTTGGTACAAAATTAATAAAATAAAAAAAAATAACTACATTCTAAGACCAAAGAAGATGATCAACTCAGACCAAAAACAGAAACTCCAGGTTCAAATGTTTTCTGCTTTACTTGTAGTTTTTCAGATTTTAAATCCTAATTCTGTAGAGTTTTTCCCAGAAATTCTTAAATTCTATCCATTTGTCAAATGTCTTTACGTGCTTCTCTTCTCCAGGTCACTGGGACCTGCTGTCCATGTCCAGCAGTCAGTGTGTGAGAGACACACCTGGACATGTTGAGTCCCACACAAACAACCAACAAATCAAACTCTCTCCACACTTTCCAACAAACCTAACATGGAGGTTTTTGACCTGTTGGAGAAAACCCACCTGTGCACAGGAGGAGAATCCACCCAGAAAGAATTTAAAAAAATAAAGTTATGAAGGCAGCTATGACTGAATATAAAAACAAACACTGGCTGTCATGGTGACTTTAGACACAGCCTTGGTCTTCAGACAGGCGGACAGAAAAACAAAGTAAAAATTAAGCCTCAAACTGTTGTAGAAAATATAATTTGTGATAATAAAACAAGTCTTTAATCACGATTAAACTATTGATGATCATAAGTTTTAACTGTTACTACACAGCATCATGTAGAAAATACATTAAGTTACAGAAAAACAAAGTAGAGCTAAGATATGATGGGAGTTAATGAGGGACACACTCTGCAACATAAACATGGTAAAAGCTGACAAAATACCTACACTTTAACAGGTATTTAGTAGTTGTTATTAATATAATGTATAAAAGTATATAAAAGTGTAAAATCTGAGGTTTATACAGCTAAAAGTGTAACATTATCACTTTAAGGCGGGGCTGTTCAACAGGCAGACGGTTCGACCTGCCAATCATTCATCTCTTTAGCCCAAAACACAGGATTTCTACTTTAATTACTGTAAGTTCATTTATAGACATGTTTGGTATCTACAGAAACACCAGAATCTTACCTAAATGTAGGTAAAAACAATAACTTTCATCATCCAAGACAGTTAAAAACTACAAGCAGTTGAAGATAAAACTATGAAAATGAAATTGGTTTAAAAATTAGTCAAGTCAGAGATGTTAAATTAATATTTGTGTTAAACAGGAGGCAGAATAAGTTATTTTTGTTTTTGATATTGTTTAATTGTCACTACATTTATTCCATAGGGTTCTGTATGTTAATGTTATATTCATGATTAAATGCAGCAAAATAAACTATTTCAAAGGTAACAGATCTTTGTAATTCTCAGTTTAGTTACATAATGACTAAGTGCTGGATGTTCGGCCCCTCAGCTGCAGTAACTGTGGCCCCCGGAGAAATTTAGTTGAAAAGGCCTGCTGTAAGGTAACCATGTAGCAAAATCTAAAAGTGTAAATTAAAACTTAAACTGTGTTTGTGTAATATAAAACAAAGATTAACTGAAAATACCAGTAGATTTGTTAAAAGTCCAGATTTCTGTGATCTGTTTGAACTGAATGATGTGAAATCTGAGCTGCGGAGCCACACACATGTTGTAATGCTTTGTGTCACTAACAAACAAAACAAGTTTGAACAGAGGAGGGCTGAACAGAGCGATAACCCAGTCGGGTTCCTTCATCATGTGACCTGTGTGAGCCAGACTAACACAGACCTGATGACCCTCAGCAGGGAGGGGAGGGAGAATAAAGGGATTAAAACTCAGAACTCTGCGCTCCTCTGCTGAAGAGAAGCAGAACATCTTCAGCTGCACAACAGGACAGATGTTAGGAGAGTTAACTGGACCTGTTCCTGGAGCTCCTGCCTCAGCTTGTCCACCACATGTGGGTTCAGACCTAAAAACATGATCAGAGACGTGGCTGTGCTGGCGGTGGTCTCGTGGCCCCCGAACAGCAGCTCTGTAGCAGACTCCTTGATGGCCTGAAAACAGAAAGGTGCACAGGTGGAGTCATGTCAGGCCTGAGGAGAGGTCAAAGGTGAAGCGTGTTTATCACCTGCATGCTGAGAGGCTCGTTGTTCTTCCTGCTGCTGTCGATGAGCTGCTGCAGAGCGTCTGTGTGTCTGCAGCCCTGCTCACACTCCTGCACCTTCTGCTGGATGTTCTCCTCCATCTTACAGTGGATCAGGTTTCTGGCCTTCAGACCCTGCAGGTCAGAGACAGAGATAATAAACATTCTGCACACACAAATACATTCCTTTATTTTGTTTGTTGTGACTCAAAACACTGAGAAAAATTCAGTATGTACAAGAAACTAGCAGGGTTGAGCAAAACCGTATCGTCTGCAATCAATCAGGAAAATTGTAATTAGATTATTTTAACACTTTATGTATGATTAACGCCACCAGGCAGACTGACTGGAGGATTTCCCCAGTCAGTCCACTCGATGCTCCTGTCCACTTCAAATATAACAAACATTAAAAAAATAAAAATTCTGTAGTTTATTTATCATAACTCCAGTTTTCCTTGGACTATCAGCACAGTTTAAACACTGATGTAAAGCCTGAAAGTCTGTACTTTTGACACAATGTGGACCAGATTTTTACAGACAGCTAATCTTTCCCACTAGAGAGATTTAATCTGATCATGTGACTAGGACAAGCAGGCGTCCAGGGGATTAACTGTCATATTAATCATATTCACCCTAGAAACCAATCAGCATCTCTTAAAACCTAAACTTTACTTTAATCTGAGTAAAATAACTTTACTGATTTACAGATTTTTTTCCATTTGCTTAAATATTTCAGATTATAAACAAATACACAAAAATTATGACGGTGTATCAGGGCCACTTTGACGATGAAAAAAGGAAGCGCAAATGTCTGAGAAAAAACTCAGATTTTCTGAGATTAATTTCAGAAATTCTAGGGAAAAAAACTGGATATTCTCTTATTTTGAAAAGTCGCATATTTCCAAGAAAAAAAACACTCAGAAATTTCCATAAATAAGGTAGAAATTTGTGACATTTAAACTTGATATTTTCTGACATTCTAAAGTCAGAAATTTCCAGGAAAAAAACCTCGTAAATTTATGAGAAAAAATTATTTTTTCAGGAACGGTTAAAGGGCGACTCCACCTTATTTATTTATTTATTTTATTTACTGTTATTTTACCAGGCAAATCCCATTGAGATCTCAGATCTCTTTTTCAAGGGCGGCCTGGGCCTGAAGGCAACCTATTGTACATGTTTTTGTGTGTTTTCACTATGTTTAATCTGCTGTAGCTTAAAAACTAAAACACCTGAGGAGATACAAAATGTGCCTTTAAAGTTTGATAAAAGTTAACCGAACCAAGCTGACCCTGAGAAACAAAAGACTGCCTCTTTCCTGAATCTAACTCATTTTTAGTAGGGACACACACACACACACACACACACACACACACACACAC